AGGGCGCGCGGCTCGGCGGCCCAGCCGATCGGGCGGTGCGGCTCCAGGCGAGGAGAGCGACCCGGGGCGCCGCGTCCCCGCAGCGCCGCAGCTGCACGCTCTGCCGGGTCCCGGCGATCCGCAACAATGTGGAGCTGCCCGGGCACCGAGTCGAGCCGCGCTCGCTCCTCTCCCTCTCTTTCTCTCACTCGCCGAGCTCCAGCCTCTCAGCCGCTCTCCCCGTGATGTCAGCCCGAAGGGGAGGGGTTAGCGTTAACCCCCTCCTGGCTCCCACGCGCGGCCCGCGCTCGGCCCCGGCCTCCGCCCCGCCGTGCACACCTTCCGGCCCCAGGCAGAGGCGGATCCCTAGCAAGGGCCGTGGGGTCGCGCTCAGGCCCACTGCTCGGGAGATGCCCCTTCGGTCGCCTTTCCGCCGGGGAGAGGGCCGAAGGGCTAGCCGCCCTCCTCCGTCGCTGACAAAGGGAGGCAGTGACCCCTAGCGGCCGGCGTCAGGGGAGAAGCCGCTCGCTGGGGGAGGAGTTAGGACTGGGTGGAGGCGGGGCTGTGGAGGAGCGGGCGTGCAGTACGGAGAAACCAGGATCCAGCAGTGTCCGAGGCGAAAGGTCTTCTCCAGGCCCTCTCCTCCGACCCTGACCCCACTTTACAGATGAGGAAACAAAGGCCCAAAGAAGGGCAAGGCGGCTCGCCCAGGGGCATGAGCAGAAAGTGGCAGGGTTCGGATTAGAACCCAGTAGCTCCTGCTTCTCTGCATCACCTGAACGCTAAACGGAGAGGCAGCTATGCGGGGGGATCCTCCGGAAGCTGCCAGGGAAGTCGGTGGTGGGCGTTCGTGGGTGAGATGGGGCCACTGAGGTTTCTGGTCTTTTCTAACACACGCTCCCTTCAGGAGTTCCTTTTCCAAAAACTGAAGCCCCCTCCCCTCCCTAAATAGAGCAAGAAATCTTGCTCTGCCCGCCTTGCGGAACCTCTGTTTTGAGCGATTTGCAGGATACCCGCGAAAGGGACCCATCCAGTGTCCGCGGCAAGGCAGGGACTCTCCGCCCCGTCCCATTCACCACCCACCACATCCGGGTGTGGTTGGCTTCCTGCCAAGGCGGCTGGGCCCTCTGGGCCCTTGGCAGCCCGGGGCCTGCTCTCTGTTCCTTCCCTCTGGACCCCATCCTCTCCCTCAAGAAGAGACAGACAGACAGAGTTTCCCACTAAGGAGAAGCAAGTTCTTCCTGGACGCCTGACCAGACAATGCTCCCTTTGCCCATTGCTGCCCTTTGCCCAGCAGGCGGGAGCAGAGGGGAAGTGGCCCATTCCTGATAAGATGTAAATTCTAGTTTCTGGGAGTAGGCGGAGCAGAAAGAGGATGGGCAAGGAGGACACCGCTTTCCCACTATTTGGGATCTGGCCCTGGAGTGTCTCTTGGTTTCCTGCTG